CTGAATAAACCGAATGACAGTGTCAGTGAGCTATTTGTTATATGGAAATTTTCTGATCTTTTTCTGACTACATGACCAAAACTGGAAATCTTTGATCCTTTCGCAGTCCTTCCAAAGACGAATGCATATATATACTTTTCCAAATCTTGAAGGTGGTTAACTGCTAGTCCAGTAGTTTGGATTAACACAGTAAAGGAGGAGACTATATTTAATAGAAGAAAAACTACCAAAACAAGAGGATATAGTCTTAAATTAAAGGGTCATGTTTAAAAAAAATATCAGGAAGTATTGCTTTTCTTAGAGGGTTGTAGATGCATGCAATAGCCTTCCAGCTGAAGTGGTAGAGGTTAACATAGTGAAGGAGTTTAACCCCTTAAGGATCAAACTTCTGGAATAAAAGGGAATCATGACATGTCACACATGTCATGTGTCCTTAAGGGGTTAAACATGTGTGTGATAGGCAGAAGGCTATCCTAACTATAAGATAAGGCCAGGGACTAATGAAAGTATTTATAAAATTGGGCAGACTAGATGGGCCGAATAGTTCTTATCTGCCGTCATATTCTATGTTTCTAAGTTTTCTGTTTTGTTTTTTTAATAAGGCCAACAGGAAGGAAGCGATATATGCTAAATAATTGATTAGCTCATGCTTTATAATAAAGACACTGTGCAGCATTTAAAGTCTGCAATCAGTTGAGACTAAGACAACTTTATTACAAGTGTGCCCAATGTTTTACTGCAAAGAAAACTGGAATTGAAGACATGACTTACCATCTTTTCACGGTCTCAGGACAGGTATACTACACAGTATGTGGGGTGAAGCTGACTCGTGTATTTTCAAGGGAAACCTAGTATAGTCGTGTGCTGCAAAAAGAAAGTAGAAACAAGAGACAATAAATCTCACGAATGCAACTTTTTAATTATTTTTAAACTAGCATGGATGCTGAATGGATCATAATAGCAATAATAAAATAGTAATGCATTTAAACAGGAATGGTACATGATTTGTTTTCAATTAAGTCTTTCTTAGCCTTCTTTCTTTAAGGAAGGTTGAACTTGATGGATATATGTCTCTTTTCAGCATTTGTAACTAGGTCCTGATATAAGAGACCAGGCATTTTCAGTTTCTTTGGTTAAATGTTTCATAGATGGATCTGATAGGCCTCTGTCTTATTTTGGGGCATTATGGCACTTGTTCAAGTTTCTTCCATTTAAGAAAGCTGACACTGCAGAGTATCTTATATGGTGTATATTGTACCTTAACTTGCTGCCAGTTAAGTCAAACTTTTTTTTTACATACATATTGCATGTTTACTGGGTATTTTGTACATTTGATATGTTTTACTGTGATAAAATCTGCCAAATTATGATCCATTACTACTTCTGTTATGGACAGATGAATTAAAATAAAATGGCTATTTACTTATGTCTATTTATTCTGTGTTAACCAATTGTTGAATGTATACTGTATGTTTAAACTGTGACGTATTTTTGCTTTAAGAAGGAGCCCCCACTCCGGGGAATAAAGCATTCCTTGGTTTTTCACCAATCGGAAACTTTGTCTCCGGTGTGAATTACTTCTAGGGAAAGCACGCATTAATCAATCAATTTGGAAGGTGTAGATAGACAAATTATCAAAGTTTTCTTTGATCCAAAACATTTGGCACCCCAGATGGGATTGAAAGGGTTACGTTAATAAGGAAGCCGTAAAATCCCAAGACAGGAGAACAAAGGATTCCCAGAGATTGGAAAGGGAGCCTGATCACCTCTGCATATGGTAAATGAGTTACTTACCTATATTTTCCTCTCTTTGGATTTCTCTTATTCTCCGTGCCTTCACATTCGGCTTCCTGTGGTTAACGTCTTCAGATAGGTAATATATATATATATGCCCGAATGTCCCCTTTTATATAGAACCTGTCACTTGTCTATCTACAGCCTGAGTCCTGAGTGTGAGTTTTATGTGTGAAAGTGTCTGCTTGAGAATCTGTTTTACTACTTGCATAATACTGTTATATAATGCTGCCAAGTGTGGTTAAGCGCTTGCAGATTTAGCCAAGTTCGGGTTTGGTGGAAAAACCCTGGCTGTTTCTTTGTTTTAGCTAAGCTTCGGTAAAGAAGCTAGTGAGTGGTTCGGTGAAGAGTTTAAAAGTTTATTTTATTTATTTTAGCTAAGCTTCGGTAAAGAAGCTAGTGAGTGACTCGGTGAAGAGGTTAAAAGTTTATTTTATTTGTTTTAGCTAGGTTTTGGTAAAGAAGCTAGTGAGTGACTTGGTGTAGAGTTACAAAGAAAAGAAAAGGAAAAGTTAATGTTTATGTGCTTGGGTGTTTCTGTGTGTGTGATTTGAGTTATTATAAGCCGGCATTTATTTTAAGAACTTTGTGATTTAATTACATCTGTATTTTGTGCTTTTGTCTGTGTATGTCTTGTTGGGTACCATATATGTTAATTGTAATCTATACAATCTGTATCGTCACTATCCTATTCTATCATTTGTCCTAAGGAGAGCTGTGCTTAGGCAATCACATGGTTAAAAAAACTTTGTGCTTGCAAGTCTTCTCCCTACCCTCCTTCTTGTGGAATTCATAAATGATAATGCAGAGAAAAGTACATTGCAGTTTGCATGTAATTGCAGCTATTCAGACGCTGTATTGTGGCATTCTTTATACACACAATGTGAAATTGCCAAGAAATTGTTTGTTAATAAAAAATAAAAATAAAAAGATTAGAAATGTTATGAAACTAGTCTGTACTTACAATGCATTGATTGGTAAACGAGATGCAGGTCAATAAAATTTAGAATCAGCAGATAAAGAAATGAATTTGAATATGTTAACAGAAGACAAATCAGATTTAAATGACCAGTGTAACAAAGTAACAGAGCTGTGAAACTTAATTTGAAAATTCATTAACAATTAATGAAAATTGTGAAATGTATTCCAGTTTATGACATGTCAGTGGATGCATTTACTAATGCTGAAATATTTGAGTCAAATTTGGACAAATATAGCCTAAATGACGAACAAAGGAATAGACTATTTAAAACATGGCTGCCGACTCATATGCATATAGACTTATTGGTAATTTTCCTTAGGATTAATTAATTAATTTGTGAAAAAATGTCAAGATCTAGATTCAACTGCAATTGTAATTGTAATTGCTAGAGAAAAAAGTACTTTGAAGGAAGTTGCTTTATTCTTAGATAAAGTAAAGAGGTATCCAAGCATGAAGGGGTTAAAATGACTTGTGGAATTAGGCAAAGAAAGAAGTGCAGATTTTACACCCATCGTCCTCCTCCTCCTCCTCCTTCTAGAACTCAGTGTGAAAGAGCAATACAGATGCCTGAGCCACTCCCAATTGCCTCAACGGCAGAATATAACTAAAGTTATTTGTGTTTGGTGCACATTATTTAAGATCTTGCAGATATTTGATTCTAGAGTTAAAACCAGCACAAGAATAGAGATATGTGTTTGTTCGTTTACTAACTTGTTAGTCTGTACTGTTTTTTTTATTGTTTTTGTTTGTTTTTTCATTGTTTTTATGTATGTTATATTGGTTGTATGCTATTATACAGTAACTCCAATCATTTTACAGAAGGAAAAAACAATAGATTTATTGTTTGTTGCTTCTGAGGTTGATTTAAAATCTTTGATTTAATTCATGAGAATGAGATTTTAATATCATGACTGATAATGGATTACTGTATATTGCAACGCCTGGACATACACATGTTTTGGATATACTGAAGACAAAAGGAATAATATATGGGAATGGATAAGGCTGATTTCCCCCTATCCACAGCCACGCCTACTCCTAAAGTAACATTGCGTACATCCTTACTATGCCCTTTTACTGTAGAATTTCCAGAATCCTAATGACCCATTCCACTACATGGTGTGACTTATTTAAGCCTAAGATAAATTGGCTGATCAGGCTACCTGTATTAACAATGTCATCAACGATGAGTTAGCATCTGTGGAGAAGTATCACTTCAGGTTGTCCCAAATGTTCTTTTAACTTAAGTTTTAGTACATAGTAAGGCCCATGCCCAACAACTATATGCAGCCTTGTATAGCAGGCCACATGACATCTATTTGTACCAAGCAAGGCCTGCCTGACTCCTCATTCCTGTCTAAAATTGTTGTCTCCTGCACAAGTGTAGATGGCTCTCCTTGGAGTAGCCTGTTAACTAAGCCTTGTTTTGTGGTTACCTTCACCTGTCCAATTAATCTGCTAGGTGCAGATGTCCTTCCCCCCACTTGCAGGCCCCTATCACCTTATTAATTCTTTTGTTCCACACAGTGAAACCTGACCAAGAGGAAAGGGTCCTAGCTAGTTCCCCCAATACCTTTACCTGAATTATACAGGCCCCGAAGCCTGTCCACGCTCTTACTATTCCCTAACAGGTTAAGGCTCTGGTGTCGAATGGTGCCCTGGTTCCCTGAGACTTTCCATTCAATATCCCACCTCTCCTTGTGATGGATGAATTCTGTGCAGGATAGTGTCACCCTGCAGGGATGATACTCTATTTACCTGGCCACTCTTCTGCCACTTCCCAGGGGGGGGAATAAGACACTGACTTATTTTTTTTAGCCTTTTTCTTATGATCTGTTCTGGATTTGCTGTCACTACAGTGGACCAAGTATCTCACCTCAACAATGTCTGCACAAGAAGCTGAGCTATAGGCTCCCATCACAGCATGCAAGATCTCTGAAGGAAGACTGAACTCAGAGGAAGCATGTGGCAACTCTCTGGCTGACCAAGTTGTTCAAGAAGTTGTAAGTGCACTAAGGGAAGTGGACAGAAAAGTGTCTGCTGAAGAAACTCCCATATTCACCATGTAAGATCTTACCTACAGACATCAAGCTCCCGAAGGAATAACAAGCAAGCTACTGACCCTGGAAAGAAAGAAAAAACAAACAAACCACAAGCTGGAAACAGAAAGGGGCAACTCTTAAAGACAGGCTGTACTTCAACAATCTCAAGTTCTGCTTGCCAAAGAACATATACTCAGCAGTGGTCCAGTGGGCCTACGGAGCATCTGTCCAGAACCCTCATGAACTCTTTTAATCAATAAATACTCTGAAGTACCAGGAATTGCCTCTCTGACCAACAGTTACTGTAAATCTTGTGCCATTTGTGCCAAGGGCAACTCAAGAAGAATGGAGGAAAGCCCCAAGCATCTAGCCAAACCTCATTATCTCTTCCAGAGGAGTCAAGTCGACTACATCCAGAATGCCAAAGAATGGCTGATTCAAATATGCACTAATTATAGCAGACAAGTTTTCAGGATGGCCAGAGTCCTATCCAGCCACCAAAGTGATAACCAAGACCACATGCTGAGTATTGCACCGTGAAAGTTACAGAGATCACCCCGTGGATTCATCATTCCAGAATCAAGCCTGCCTCTGCATCATGTGAAGTAACATTTGTTGATCTTGACAACCCTTTTTGAAACTCCATTCTTAGAGAACAAAGATACTTGTTGAAAATAAATAAATAAATAAATATCAAGTGGGCGTTTTGATGGCTATAATAATGCCTGACCACCTGCCATCGATGGAAAGCCGAATACCCCAAAAGGGGACCTCGTGAAACTAAAGAGAAACAAACATACTCCTTACCATGCAGCCCTCACGTCTGAGGTGCCATACGCACAGTCAAAGCTTCTTCAGGATCATCTGCTTATCTTGAGTTTGTGGTGATATTAATATTGAATGTTTAAATGATCTGAATCTGCCAGTACTAGGGTAGCATGAGAAGATTTCTAAGAATAAGTAAATGTGCCCTAGCCTAGGTTATTAGCGAGGCCTCACCCAGGTACTGTATCCCTGAACCTTCCTCCGGATATGAAGTATGCGTTTTAAGTCTCTACACTGTATTTAAACCTAAGCGGTCAGCATGCGAGTCATGGAAACTTAATACCCAATCATTACTAAAAATATTAACCCAGACGAAGGCATTACTAAACTTGTTATGGGATATATATACTTGTTATGGGATATATGGTGGGATAGGGTGGTTACAAACTACCTCTCAGATGACCTTCCAGAATAGAATAAGCTTGGAAATGATTTTGGCAGAAAAAGGGAGAGTATGTAAAATACTCCCAGACACCATAACATGCTGTACCTATATTCCAGATAATACAGGCCCTAATGGTAAGGTAACGTTGGCAATAGAAAAGTTAAAGAGTTTGTCCAACGAGCTGAAACGAAATTCTGGGGCCGCAGATCCATGGGAAAGATGGTTTGGATGGATGACTGGATGTCAAGGTGCTCTGGCACAAATAGGTGTTGCCATTTTAATAACGACAATCATCCTCGCTCTTCTTGTTTGCTGTGTGTTACCCTGTCTTAAGAAATGCCTACAAAAGACAGTTGATCAGACAATCAACCAGACCACCCCGACCTTCCTTCACCAAGAGATTGACGACATCAACCGTGATACACCACATACACCCTTACAGTCCCACCGCACTAAATCAAAAGCTGCTTCCTCTTAAGGACATTCAGGGATAGCGTCTGTCTCTATGGGCAGAAGTCTGTCGCGGGAAGAAGTAGTGGACAAGCTGCTACGGGTTACCCGCACAGTGAAGTGTTCGAGGCCTGTTCAGACAGATGTGCAAGATAGCCTTTTGATATTTTTCTATAGGGACAGTATTAGAATGAGAGATAGTAGTTTTTAGTAAAAATTGCCATTTTAAGGGGGGACTGTTATGGACGGATGAATTAAAATAAAATGGCTATTTACTAATGTCTATTTATTCTGTGTTCACTATGTTAAAACTGGCTGCTAGAGTAAATATTCCCTTCCCCCCTACAATGTGTTCAGTTGCTGTTTCCTCTGTATCCTGCTAAGCATCCCCCTTCCCATCAAGCAAACCTCATGTAACCAAAATTCCTGTGTTAACAGCTTCCTTTACTAACTCCTCCCCCACTTCATTTGTGCCAGTTAACAGCTATATGCCACGTGTAACAAAATGGAGAATCACTGTTAAAGTAACAAAGAAACTACTCACTTACCCTGTCATCGTGTATCCAGGAGCTGGAATATAGGCGGGAGAAGTGTGTGTTTGTTAGGGTGCTGAAAGTGTGCTCTGTGAGGGTGCTATTTGTGTGCGTCATGTGTTTGTGAGGGTGCTGTGTGTTTGTAAGGGTGCTGTGCATGTGTGTTTGTGAGGGTGCTGTTAGTGTACTGTGTGTGTGAGGGTGCTGTATTTGTGTGCTGTTTGTGTGCGGGTGCTGTGTGTGAGGGTGCTGTGTGTTTGGGTGATTGTGGGGGTGGAGGTGGGGGCAGATTAGTTAATATCCACCCTCCCTTCTTACCTTATGTAGGGTGGGGGGACCGTGTTGCTGCTATCCCTGGTGGTCCCGTGGAGTGTCACCTCTATCCTCTGGGGCTAGAAATAACTTGCGTGAGATCTGAGCGTTACCGAGAGGAACCCGGCTGAGCTGCTGGCTAGAGCTCCCCATGTCCTCTCCTGCCTCCCTCCAGGTCTGTGGGCCAGTGAGGTACATCTGTGATCTCCCCACCGGCCCATGGAGGCTTAGAGCAGAGCCGGAGCTCGGATGGCGCTGGCTGTGCATGAGCTGACATGGGAGATCCTGAGATCTCCCCTGCCGGTCTCAATACATAGGCGTGCCACAGGGATTAGGCACACCCCGTGCGCACACCTATGGTAAATAAGCATATTTTCTGCCTTTTTGACACACACACACACACACACACACACACTGAGAATGTACTTTATATTTTGCAAAGCTTATGTTTGCTACTGCAGTATAACACTTCATATGTTGCTCATCTATGTTGCCTGAGTACAGCAATATCTCCATAAATACCATTGCCAGGTACACAATGACTTTATAGGGGCACAATTGAGACACAGCCATTTCAGGGATTTTTTCCAAACTTTGAATTTGGACACTAAGTGCATATCCCATTTTGGAACATTGTAGCAGGTTGCAGACTACCCTACAAATACATACCATTAAAGAATACATTCCAGGATATTTCAAAATGCAAATTTTGAACCTCAGCGTGAGATCATTTGTGTACTAATTTGTACTAAGCATACAAACTACTTTTTAAATCTAACTTTTGTAAACTTATATTTTTTACTATTAACCCCTGTCACGGGTGGCGTTCTGAGGACCAGATCCCCTGTATGCCTGATGATGATGATAGGAGTCACAGCGTGGAAATGGACTTTCAGGGCCTGGTGCTGGGTAACCTCACACCCCCTGGTGTTGACCACCGTTTGTTTGTGTGACCACATACCAGGTCCCTGATGCAGCTTCTACGGATCCCAGGTGCTAGATGATAATATGCAGAACTCCCAGGATCTGGATTGGGAGGCTCTGCAGCAGAAATGTATCCAGTACTAGAAACAAGGCGAGACTAGAACAGGCACCAAACAAGATAGCAAGACAAGACTAGAAGAACCCAGAACTAGAGAAGGACAAAAAGCAAAATCCAGAACATGTACATGATACATGAGAGAAACATGAACAAGACATGGACAGGGCAGGAGAGGACAGAACTTTACATGAATTGGGAATACAAGGCAAAATAAGAGGAGAAATAACCAAGTACTATACCGTAATAAACATTGGAGATTTAGACATACATAAATGGCCAATATGTATGCAGCTCACCACTGCGCCAAAGTACTCCAATTATGGTGGGTCCTAACTGCCTAGATATGCATGACTAAACACACAAAGTACTTACCTGCAAGGAAAAGAGCAGCGGAAATGAGTCCACTGCTTGCAGGAACAGACTGAAACAAAAAAAAATTAATGGCAAAGGAACGGGTGTGGCAACAAAAAACAAACATTTAAAGGAATCCAGGAGACTGGTTATTCCAGGAATGGAATAAAGGAGTGAACCCAGAAAACCCAGGATAGAGAAAACCAGACAAAGAATAGAAAACCAGAAAAACCAAGAAAAACTAAACAAGAATTGTAAAAAGAGCACTGGATACCAGAGGCCATGGCCAGAAATGATCCACAGCCAGGAACAGGATGTAACACTAACTAGCCTAATACTAAATGCCCCAATTTCCCACTAGCTTCCTCCCACCCCAGCTAAATAAATAATTAAAAATTACAATAATACATTTAAAAAGTTAACCCTTTAGTCAGTGATCAAAGGCAGATAAAGAGTTACATTTTATTTGAACAGGGTAAAGGAGGAGTTAGGATCCACTTAGGAAGCGAATGGAGGCAGGTCAGCAATCCCTGCAGCCCATCTGACTGGCTGTTAGAGCAACCACAGGGGCTGGGACAGTATGAGTGGCTGCGGCCCATCTGCTTCAGCAAGAGTGGCTGCTGAGTGGCTGCTGCCCATCTGCCTTACGTCTGCCAGTGGGCGAGACTGATCCTGCCCGCCAGCCGGGGAGACCTAATGCGCATGCGCGGCAATGCTTTTCAATGCTTTCCTATGGGGAATTGAGCGATGCTGGAGGTCTTTACACAGCGTGAGAACGTCCAGCGATGCTCTAGCACATAAGTTCTGTTCAAGAGATACGGAAGTGGCCTCTAGTGGCTGTCTAGTAGACAGAAACTAGAGGTGGAGTTAACCCTGCAAGGTAATTATTGCAGTTTATAAAAAACTGCAATAATTACACTTGCAGGGTTAAGGGTAGTGGGAGTTGGCACCCAGACCACTCCAATGGGCAGAAGTGGTCTGGGTGCCTGGAGTGTCCCTTTAAGGGATTATTAACAGAGCCCCTTCTAAGGATATAAGTTCAAGTATCCTGAAACACACCCTGTATTCCAATATGGATGCTAAATTGTGGCCTATGGAAGAAAAGGTCCTCCTGATATAACATATAACTCAAACTACAGCATCACTACTGCAGATGTGATGGACTGTATCTCATGATGCTCTTACAGCCATGATGCTGGCAATGCATCAGGGGAGATTTACTCTACAACATCTAGAAGTGCAGATGGTTGCCGACCCCTGAATTACAACTTCTACTGTCTCATTTATGATGGTCTGTAAGAGCCAACAATTGAAAGCTGGTGTTTATTAATTGGAACACAAGTGGAAACATGTCTTATTCCCAGCTTATGGCCTGGGTTCCAAGTGGTAGAATGAGAGGAGGTGCTTGCTGAGAGTTACACATCACTATAGAAAAGTACTCAAAAGGTAGCAGAGTTAAATAAGACAGATATATAATATGAATAATAAAATACATAAATGCCTTATGTGTTGGCGGTGAATGCAATCTATTTTTATATGCTGCTAATGATGGCAAGACAATTGAA